TTTGAAGAAAAAACACCAAAGGGCAGTCAGTGACCTTTAGTTGGCAATCATATAAAGAGATATTTCTCTAATGAACGTGATTTACCTGATGGATTTAGTCAGATATTCATCAAAACCTAAATAGCGATGGTAAAAATCACATTACATTGCACTATTTTCATTCTCGCTACGATTCTGGTACGAAAACAGTGAAGTGAGCATGCGTGAGGTGAATTTTGAGCGTGCTAGGCAGCCAGTTCGTAGTGTCAGCCAATCAGAGCGAGGTTCTTATATGCGGTTCTTACCCATATTCCGGTAAAAATTATACCTCACCTTTTAGCGTTCAGTGTATGGAAGTTTAAGTTGCCAACACTTGTGTGTCGGTTTATTGAATGCAGATACTTGATCACGTGTGTCATTTAAAGTTTCTATAATAGCACAGTTTTTGTATGTACATGTTATATCGTGGTTTCACATAATGTATCTGTGGGCTATCAACAAACTTGTATGAATTGTTTATCCTTATCCGACGTATTTGGCAATGGATCACCATAGTAACACCTATTGGTATCGAAAGAATGCGTCTTATTGAGCCATGGGCACGTAAGGACAAACATACGGTGTGTTTGCCTTGATAATTGAATCATTATTTCACGAGCTGTGCATATTGTTTGGTGTACGTGAAGACTGAAGTCAGTGTCAGGCACAGAGTCACACACTAGGTTGAGCCATCTTAGTACACCGAGTCGCTGATTGAGTCGCCTTACTTGATACATCGAACGATTACGTTTAGAGAACCTTACTGTGTTTGTGTGACGAGCCACCTGTTGAGCCGTCGGCATATGCTGGACTGTTAGAACATCGACCCGCCCGTTTACATGCCGATATATTCTAGACTGTTATAGCATTTGAACAAAAAAGGCAATGGCAAATATAGGAAAATTGAAGAGGCAACACACTATAATCGGTAAGAATTGATAGCTGTATGTTGATATATATATATATATATAAATAATCAGTACGAATTTCTTTTTGAATACCACAATCACATAAAAGTTATCTTGCTGAGAAGACTACTGTATTAGGACGATCCATTATCTACACGACTCCTACGTGTGTGGCCAATATACCTGTCGTCGGGATTCGATCACGCACCTATTTCTCCGGTCAGTTTATTTGTAAATGTCGAGTTCAGAACAGACAATATGGAAATCGGTAAATAAGACGTGATATAAATAAATCCAGTAAGATGAAGCGAGTGATATTTATAGCTAGTCATTACAAGTACACACATGACCATTGCGTTGAGCACGTCTCTGTTAGCGTGCTTTGTGAGTGTGTGACACCGCTTTCACGCCTACTATTTCATCTACTCTGTTAGCGTGCTTTGTGAGTGTGTGACACCGCTTTCACGCCTACTATTTCATCTACTGAGGAGGCTTAAATCTCGATATCAACTACCATTGTTCGGATTTGGAATAACTCCCACCAATGTGTATATACACATCTAAACGTCAGTGAGATAAGAAAACCAATTGAAATCAACACACCTCTTGTTGACCCTGTATGACCCTATATTTCGGTACACATACTATCTGTAAGTACACCAATACACAGATATATTATTGCTATATAAATATGACGAGTCGGTTACTACTCATACTTCAGTTCTTTGTATCGTTCAGTCCAAAATCAGTGTTTACGTACTGTGTAACACTGTTTGCAAAGCTGCTCCCAGACTGACCAAATACTCAGCAATGCACCACCCCGAAACATGGACTTCTAAATGAAACGAATTACCCCACGTTGGTATAAATATCACATTTTAATATAAGAACTAGAAAAGATTTCTCGTGAAAATTAATTACCAGTCTTACCTGATTCTAGCGACCATACACACACACACTTGGCTGCGGTCACGTGTTGGCATGCCCCCAATCACATACCGTGGATATTGTGGCGTTCTCCATAGATACGCCACTGAACTCCTTTCGTTTCAATTATGATTATTCGTTTTTTCTACCAAAGATAATCTGTTGACAATGGATTCCACTATGGTTATGGCATCCACATAGAAATAAACGCTCGACCGGTTATCACTTCGCCTTGGGACACGAAGACCCCTATGAATTTATACTTTTTTTTTTTTTTTTTTTTTTTTTTTTTACAAAACTGCAAGTTGAGGTTAAAATAAAACACGTTGCCACTTCGTCTTAAGCTGTTCACATCGCTAAACGATATTCCCAACTCATATATCAGATGGCGTGTTACATACTTTTAACACGTTTTAACTAAAGACTGGTGAAATAACTGGTAAATTGACTCGTACAAGTAGAAAACAGACTAAAGGCCGGTTTATACGATACGATTTATCGGATGAAACTGCGTCTGGCAAATCCAGTGACACAATAAAAACTCTTTTTAGCTTGCATGTTATTTTAGCTTATTTAGCTAATATATAATTTCGCTAAGATAAAGAATAATCTGATTGTGAAATTGTTGTTGCTTTCAAAGGTTCCATTAATTCATGTATTGCCCCCCCCCCCAAAAAAAGATTCTTTGGTGACGATCAAAGTATTCTGTTCAGATTATTCGAACACCAAAGTTCAAGCTCGTCCGATGTTTTTACCAATGTGATCAGTCATCTGATTTTGCGGATTACACGATGCAATTCATTAGATTAATCCGATGGGATAAATTCATTCGTGCCATAACTGTGGGGTACTACTTTAATAGTTTCTAATCACGTGACAGAACTCTTTTTCAGACGAGAAATACGTAGATGATTTAGACAGAAAATTCCTACGTGAGATGGCGACGCTCTTACGGGATAACGAATATATAAACGTCATCTCGCATCTTGGAATATCGGATGAAGAAAGACAAAACATAGAAACAACATTCTACCCGAAAGAAGAACAACGATATCAACTTCTGTTACTATGGAAACGCAAGAGCAAAGAGAAAGGAACTGCAGATAGATTATTAAAAGCACTCCACGCGGCCGATGTTCCCAAGGTCGAAGAGAAGGCAAGTGAGGCGACGTTGAAAACATTGACAGCTCCAGAGATACACACTTCAGGTACGAATGAGTATCATCGTCACTATGGCAACACAAACCTAATCCACTTTTGATTAAAGTCTTATAAACTTTCTTAAGCTTTTTATTTTAAACTGAAAAAGTTACGTTTTCGCTCAATTTCTTCTTTTGTCCCCAAACAACAAGATATAAAGTTATTTGAAAAGCGATCTGTAGCGGTAGGGAGCGCACTTCCATTACCCTGATGACCTTGTAAAATTACACGGACCGTAAACGCACACTTCAATGAGAACTAGCATCAAAGACAAGAATAGACAGTTTTGGAGTCATTGACTCGTATAATATTTACAGTCAGTGGACCAACTTTACCAATGTCATTGTCACATTGGTTCATTCTTCTTCATGTTTGTAATCACAATTTTAAATATAGTAATGTGTTTAAATGAATACGACGTATAACATATACACTGTAATATATTCCGGATTATGTAAATAGAATACCCTGTGGTTGTTTAATCTAATCCGTTCCCATAATAACCACATAAGCTTGTCAACGCTTCTACATTTGCCCATTAAGCAAGATTGTCGCCATATACTTCACCCACGTCATGTTAGTGATAACAGTATTTAAACACATAGTCGTGACGTTACCATGGTATCAACGTGGGACAGACCGCCCCACAGAATGACGACCGCGTTATAAATATATTAAAGTTAAAAAATGATGCTTTATTCCAACATTTCAGAAACTGGACATTTTTAATTAATAACAAAATTAATGAAAATATACTAAAAGTTTCAACAATAATAAAATATAAAGTGAGACATAATGCGCATTCTGCGGTCAGTATGACCTAAGTTTAAATATTTATACACACACCTCTAGATTAGATTTACAGGTATCATAGTACAATAAAATTCTCCGTAGACGACAATATATAAGGTCTCATGGTTTAGTTCACCCCTGTCTGTCTGTCGATAGTTCATTTAGATCGGCAGAATTTGCCAAAAAAATACACTGAGTAGTGAAATAATATTGTATTAAAATTATATTTGCAGATTCAGCACATCTCAGTGATGACAATCTATTCTCCATTTCGTCAACACTGGAACCGATTTATTTCTTCACTATTGGCAACAAGCTGGGAATTAACCACTCAACGTTAATGAAGTTGGAACAAAGTCCAGCCATAACGACCACTTACAAAATGATGGCGCTATTGCAGTGTTGGAGAGACACGACTGAGTATTACGAACTACTAAGTATTGATGCCCTGGTGGAAATATTAGACGAGTTAAGACTGTCAGATGCGATAGAACAGATTGGTAAAATGCTCGGTACCGATATTATACCACCAAGACAGCGGAGACCTTCCCTTCTAGCGAACTATTATTGATTCTGGCAATGAACCATCGTACTATTAAGTCACGTGACTGAACTCGTATGGAATATATGACATTAGAAAATTATTTATGTTCTGTCACATCGAATAACGATAGATGAGTTGTACATGTACATTTCACTTGTCTTGATAATTTATAATTATAATTATAATTAAAATTAAATATTATAATTTATATTTCATGTTATTTTCCGTGTTTATAATGCTCATTGTATGGTAGTGTATCCAAGTTAACCTCAGTTTATAAACATATTTATAACAATTTGTAAATACCGGTCATAACCTTTCATTCAAATTCAAATATTTAATAATGATTGACTCGACAGCTCCATATTACCTACACTATTATCCGCGCACAAGTCTTCAAGCGACATAGTAACTGAGACTGCCCACTTATTCAAAATGAAGGGTTTACTGATTAGATCATTTGAACACGCAATTATGTCACCATGTTGTTTCTGGATTTGTCATTTTTTTTGCATTCTACCAGTCATTTTGATTTATAAAAAATTATATTTATAAAACGTGCATAAGACCCCCAGCTGTATGTCTTCCATTGTAACGCAATGTACGTTCGCGTATAGCCGTTTACATACATTCTGCAGTTTGTCATCATGTAATATAATGAAACTGCCAGGGGTTGGCTCGGTGGACGAGTCGTGATATATAATCGACCAGATACAATTCTGTTCACGAGATTCCGAACATACTCAGGACATTGCGAATACGACAGTGAATGAATAAATATTATACACAATAACGATTGCGATTTGGGATACAAAATGTACACAACACAACAGCCATCGGTAACAGATGCGTGCTCCGTGAAAACAGGTTTATGTCAGTACTTACTATTGTTGAGCCAACCACTAACGATTTTATTAGTGTATGTGCAATGATGAAGCTCATGTGACATTTCCAAACTAGTTGTGAATTTGAATACGTTTATTGGTACTCTTGTACGTATCTCAATTTTCGATGAAAAATATTCAACTTAGAAATAACTAAGTAAAAGTATTGAACAACTTAGTAGAACAGTAAAAATGTTTAGTCATGATCTTGTAAACTGTAAAATATCTATAATATTCATGTTATATGATTTACATTATCGTTGGTAAGCACGCGTAACTGAGCTTCGTATTCTAAATAACATCCGGGGCCAATATCGCCATATTCACAAAACCGGCATTGCAACCAGTCGGTTTTAATGGTATTATTTTCCCATTAAGTATATTCATGCCTAGGCACGAACACCAGAAAAATGTAATGCTGCTCGTTTACAAACAGCTACGAACGAGGCTGTGACTTTGATTGACTCGTATCCAAGTTACCACATGCACTGTCTTTTGAACTAATTGATATATGCGTATCTGTATCTGTAATGTGATTTTACATTCATGTAGATATTCGTACATGAAAATAAAAATAGCATTAGATTAACCTTAAAATATAGCTAAAAAACCAAAAAAAAAAAAAAAAAAACCAGCGTACTGTAAAATACTTTATATTGCGTGGAATTTGTTCTCACTATTTTTGCTGAAGGAATGAAGGAAATAAAATCCAGCGAATATACCTTTTTTCTTATATTTTACATTCAACTCGTCACAAACCAGTGAAATTAAATTCCAAACAAAAGATCCAAATTAATTCCAGCTAAAGTACGAGTTTGTTACAGTATATATAACACAATGAATAATCTGTGATGACGTATACATTTGGGATATTTTGGATGCTTGAAAAAGGTTAGAGAAACGAATTTGACCTTAAGCACAAAATGAAGAACCCGTAAATACAGCAAGGAGATAGCGGGCAATTCGTACGTACCAGAATACATGTATAAGATGCCAGTCTAAATACCATTTTTGAATGATGAGGGCGCTCTGAATGTACATGTAATGTCCCATAGTATCACCTGTTCCAATTGCCCGTAGAGGGCGACTTATCACATGGGCAATACTACTGTTAATATTGCACCTGCCGTATTTCCTGTTATGATGAACCTGAAGGCAAAATTGCTTTAATGTCTCCTGTACATTATCTCTCTATTTCTAGATCCATTGGGGGGGGGGGGTAATTTAAAATTTTCATCAAATATAGGCATTTCTAATTTTTTCACCGACAGGTTATACTCCTTCAGGTTTGTCTATTTATCTGTATAACAGAAAGTGTTCCAAATTCCTCCAGGTTTTCTTGAAAACATAGCATACTGAAAGGTCCCTTGTCCAAGAAACTTAGGGCAAAAACACAAATTACTGAAATGTAATTACATGACACATATTTATTTAGAATTCATGTCACATACATGTGATCATTACTATATAGAGTCTCATTATTAGTGACAATCTGTGCAGGCTACTCAATTATTGAGTAAAATATGATCATTTTGCATTATCATAATTACGATTTATTATTTCAATAAAGTTGAAATCACCCATGCTGATACACAGTTGATTTTCAGGGACTAATGTTTTCATTCAGGATGACGATATCAAATTTATGAATGATACAAACTAATGATGTACTCACAGCCAAGTATAATCTTTTGTTTGCGTGGAAATAGTGAGAATGAAAGTCCGGAGACAATGCAAAAGGTGTATCTGAACAAACTTTTACTGGTTAGAATGGATAGCAATAAATGCATTGTATTTCCGGTGATGCAGAGCATAGGAACGACAAGACAAGGCACATCAGCTTTTAGTATAAATGTCACAATACGGCAGAAAATGTTTGTGGCATCTTTATCTGTGGCATCTGTAAACATGTCAATTGTATAGCAGATCTTCCTGAAACAGGACAAAGGGCAACTCATCATCCACGGTAATAGTCTATGATATATATATAAGCAGAGAAGACAAAAGATAACATGTGCAATGTTTTGATTTTAATGCATTTAAGAAAAGCAGTCAATAACATTATATATCCCATAATAATAACAATATAGCTTACATTGACGGTAATTATAAAAGTAGTGTATTATCAATTACAAAACATATTTAGAATATCATATACCAACATAAACAGACAAACAATGATATCTACATCAACTCACATTTTCATCATATACAAAAAAAAACAGATTTCTTTACAAAAAGGAAAAGTTAATCTTCACTTATATATACAAGTTTGAAGGATCAGCAAAGAAATAAGTTAATCAATACAGAAACCTGAGAAGCAAAATAGAAACAATCCTTCATATGGAAGGCTGAAGATGGCAGTGTACACTCGCTCTGCAGACATTAATGTAGAATATGAAGAGCAATCAGGAGATCCCTTACAAGTTATATGCAAATTACCCACATAATGAGTTTAATAAGGTGGAACACTAGAAACTCAGAGGGAAGGTGAATATAGAATTGAAAAAAAATTTTCATAGGAAAAAAACATGGCGGAAAAAAAATTAGCACAACTCTAAGTGAAGGGAAAAAAATATATTTTGCACTGTTTTTCTGCTATAGCCACCAGAGCTTCTAACGGTCCATCTTTTAAAAGATACTTTTTGAGACGACTGATTCTGTCCATTGGATGTATTAAATATTATGAATCACATTTGAATAATTTGCATATCAACAAGGACCCCTAGCATGGTAAGATAACTCAATGACAGAATCAGACTCTAGCCTTGAGACAATAAACCACGTAATATATGTTTTTACTAACTCACTGTGATAAATATGTATCTACAAGTTGAATATTAACTATTAGTAACCACTGATTTGACGTTATTAAGCGATACATAGCGAGAAAACATCCTCAGCAATACACCATTGATAAGAGTGACCCAAGCAACGGATTCAAAAGCACTGATTGGTTAAAAGTAACCATGTGATAAAACTCACACTTCAATATGGTGGATATATGCAAATTAACACCATATAAGGAAGTTACACTGTTTTCAATGCAAGGAAATCACAATTTTCATCATCAAGACATACATGAATTAATGTTCATTTATTTAAGTAACCATTTCTCCAAATACTGTACAACAGATTGGACATATTAAGCTGCTACAAACTCATACAAGTTGTGAGATGCAGTTGCTATGTGAACATATATCTGTGAAAGCACACAAATTGCAGTGCATTATGGGATTTTGTACATTGCAATGCATGATGGAACTTGATGTTATGATTGAACAAACAATGAAGTCCAGCTTCTAAAAAGGCAGCTCTATACCTGGAATTATTAATAAAAAAAATGACTGAAAATTAAGTAAATCAAAGTCCAAAAACTCAAACAAGGATGAATATTACCGACCTAGCCACTGCTCTTGTACTACAAATCAGTTTTTATTTGATAAGCACCAAAAATCTGTTGTGGGCATACAAATCAGCACAATACAAAATGATTTATGTTGAACTTGAACTCAGTGTTGCAATATGGTACAAACAATAACATCCCCAAATTTGGCAATATTGCGTTTGTTTATGTATATCACACACCTGCAAGTTAGACGTGTCCCTACTATATATGATTCACCACACATTTACATCAATACTTGTTAGCTGCAGGTTAAATTGATAAAGCTTGCCATTATTTACAGAATACAATAAAAATTTATGAGAAAACAGGCGATACTATATACAGACAAATTGACAATTTAGAATTAGAGGACATGCTATACAAGTGTTTGACATTTAATGTAGACCTATAACCCGGCACAAGTATAAATTACCATTTGGAAACTAAAGAGTAAACAACTCACTTGTCTTAACAGACTATAGTATATATGGGCAACATCAATTTGGACAAGTCAGGCTGTACACAGAGGTCAAAGTTCATTTTTACAATAATCATTTTGTACTGCGCAGAAAACAATGGATTTAAAAACAATAAAATACAATATGTAAATTTATGCAAATAACCTGCATTTCTCACTGCAGCAATGAATTAGTTACTCTTCATTGCCAGTTTTTTGTATTTTTTTTTCTCAAAAATTTTGTTTAAAAAATTTTAATTTTAGAGCAATATTAGTGCATTCATAACAGTATACAATTCTGCATCGAAATGCAAGAAATATAGAGAAGCAATAAAACAATGGCATCATGAAAGGGTGCATAAACTAGTCTGACGTACCACAGAACGACTCAGAGATTATATTGATACGCATATAGGAAGACATCATAATGCAGATACATAGTATTCTGTCTCACTTAGTTACCGTTGCTAGGCTGGTCTCACTCAGTTACCGTTGCTAGGCTGGTCTCACTCAGTTACCATTGCTAGGCTGGTAATACGAATAGGCCTACATTTCCCACTTGTCAAATGATTAGAAAAAAAAGACAATGTTTTTTCAGTGGTACAAATTTATTTGGCTTCAGACTGGTACTCTGTGTAATGCCCACACAATAACGTAGTTTGCCAAATTCTCATTGGTCGGAATGAGTTTGAATTCTAGTGGAAACATCAATTACTGTGGAGGTTGCAGTCGTTTAGCGACATGTCTTTTTGCGCTGGTGGAAACTTTAATTGATGCAAAGGTTGTAGCTGTTTAGTTTTTCCTGCCTTTCCATGCTGGTGGAAACATCAATTCATATGAAGGTTGCGGCCGTTTAGTGTCACATGTTTTTTCATGTCGGTGGAAACATCAATTAATGCGGATGTTGTGGTCGTTTAGCGACTCCTGTTTTCTTATGCTGCCATAGATGATTATAGATGACAAATGCATCAACGGACACAGACATTGTTTTGGAAGGTATGGCTACAAAGTGCTTACCACCAGAATTGTATCTGAAGATAAATAATAAAACATTTATACACAAAACCAAAGCAATTTGAATGACAAATGGTTTTACAAAAATAGTGATAAGCTGAAAACTCCTTTGTGAACACGAGGACTATATTGGAACCAACAAGACTTATAACTATAATAGCAAATTGAAAAGCATAACATAATTAATCAGTGCTAATCAATAATCTAACAATTACCCAACTACCAAAATGTTTTGACTATGATATGAACAGATTCAGCTAAAACAACTTATAGTGCAAATTAATTATGGAAAGTTAACAACACTGACAACAATGCTATCACCAACAGACCACACCCCACTGCAACATAACCCTTATACTCACTTAAATATTTTTTCCACCATGTCTGATGATACCTGTCGTGGTCCAGTGCCATATATCTTAATAATCTCTTCTGATTCCGGTAAATAGCTGTACAATGATCGGAACTGTAGTCCAGAATTACGGAATAAAATAAGGAAGTGGTGGGCATCAGCCTTGGCTATCTCCTGTGAAAGAAACCAATTATTTGTCACAATGGGTGTTGTCTTGATATTCAGTATGAAAAAAGTGTATATGCCAGACTGGTACAACAGTTTGCTAGTCAGTTATTTTAAATACTATCAAAAAAAACAAAATGATGTACATCAAGTTCCTATTATGTTCAATGTAAGTACCAAGTTTGAAAATAATCTGGTTTTGGAAAAACAGAAATGTTTAAATGCATTTTTAATATTCATTGGTCACCATTCGGTAATCTTGAATTGTATTGTCTAACAAATACATATGCATATGTGTGACATAATGTATGTAATAAAGTTTGAATGTGATTGGTCACGGCATACTCCGGAACAGCATTCATTAAAACAAAATGGCCACCAGTTGGTCATTTTGAATTTGAAAAACAAAATGTTGTCTATGCAAAACCAAAATCTGGGTTTGAAATGGCAGAAATGATTGATTTTCATGCATTGTAGCATAAAAATGAATGAATATGCACTTTTATCCCATGATGCATGAATTTGCACTTTTATCCCATGATGCATGAATTTGCACTTTTATCCCATGATGCATGAATATGCACTTTTATCCCATGATGAATGAAGTACTTGTCAGGCATGTCTGTCACCAGGGTACATAGCACCAAGAGCCAAATGATTTCCAAGACTTTTCCAGAACTTTTTCCCAAACTTTCTTGCATTTTTTCCAAGACATTTTGAACCTTAATTCAGGCCAACATCATCAGCAAACGCATCAAAGTTCTGAGGATATGGTAGTTCCCATGAGAAAACGGGCCTTTCTAAAATGAATTAATGACTATGAGGAAATTTAAAGACTTTTCAAAGATTTTTTTATTTTTCCTGTAATTTAAAGACAACGCAAAGACTTTCCAGACCTCAAAAAATCCAAAGACTTTCAAAGCATTTTCCCAACGCTATGGACCCTGGTCACACATCTGTTCTTATTACAGTTTCTAAAGTTTAATAGTTGATAGATTTTTGACATACCTGTAGAACCCTGTCTTTCATGTCCTTGTTAACATGTCCAGCCAGCACACAGTGTGTTATAGCATTAGTGATTAGATGTCGATTAGACTTGGTAGCAGGTTTCACAAACAACTTAGGACCTATGATGTAATTTATATTAGAATGCATTCAGAAACACAGATTTGATGAGATAGTAATGAAGGGGGATAAAACTGGGTTTGTAAAAGGGACAAAGAGAAATAATCAAGAGAATTAAGAAAAGACGGGGGAAAAAAAGTGTCAGATTGAAATCCAGAGAGTGAGAGTGTGAG